TTTGTGACCTCGATTGGAATTAATGCACTACTGGGTTTTTAATCAGTTATTGTTTACCCCTAAATATACAGTAAATCATCACGACATTTTGTTCTCAGCAATAACAATTTGTTCCTCTAGCTCTGCAAGATGATGGAATAAAAGCACGCACATCAGTACTGCTGATCTGGAAACGTCTTCACAGTGAGATATTTACCTCCACCAAGTAACTTGTATTTTGATTGCAGTTTGTCAGACGAATTACACACACACACACACGCACAAGTTATAAATTCATGGCCATAAAACAGTGCGGAAGGTTAGAATAAGAATACAATTGGCGGTAAAATGAAAGTGCTGATTAAATGACACAGTTATTAAATGTTATTTTTTTCCCCCAGTTTAACGGCAACATTTGGAACATGGAAGAAGCCATTACAATTTGCTTTTTATCATATAGTGAACCCCTGCTGTTGGCAAGCTATTGAAACGGACATGATCATAAACCATCAACCACATGCTTCTAGCATATTCATAATGATTTACCCGTGTTACATAAACAGTATTTTAGTAGTTACATTATTTGACACAAATAAGCCACCTTCATGTAAGGCTCATCAATAGTATTCGCTAGCATACTAGCCTCAATGACACGCTAGCACTGAGACAACATCACACATGGGTAAAAGAAAAATAAATGATAAAATATATAAACACAAACAAACCATGCTTCTGGTATGTCCATAGTAATGTACCTGTGTTACATAAACAGTAATTTAGTCGTTAAATTATTCAGTACAAATAAGCCACCATCATGTGAGGCTCATCAATAGTATTAGCTAGCATACTAGCCTTAATGACGCGCTAGCACAAACTGACATGACATCACCCAGGGATTAAAAAAAATATATGTATAAAATATATAAACACAAACAAATCTTTTACACCAACTGTATTTCGTCAATAAACGTACCTTTAGCATTTAGATGGAATAATTTATGTTAGAGAATACGAGCAAATTTTCAAGGCCAAGTAGACTATGCTGGCTATTAGTTGCTGCCTCTGGAAAGAAGTAGAAACATACTTTAGTTTGACCTTTGATACTGCTGTGCCATCAAAACAGGGCATATTTCAAACGCAAATGAAAAATCACTTTCAAAAAATTAAAGCTAACAACAACGCTTAGATTAATTTACCGTAGATGGCGCCAAAGTAATACTTTGCTTGGATCGAGAACAAAAACGGCAAATAGACAAATTCCTCAGCAAATTGTGGAGGTTAGCTGCTGAACTGCGAATATGTGGGAGTTCACTGTTAATCATTTATCACGACGGCCTGGTGTTCAAGTGGTTAGCGTGTCTTACGCACACTTCTGAGTTCCTGTATTTGAATCTCTTCCCCGAGTTTGCATGTTCTCTCTCGTGTTGGGTTTGACCCATTACTCTGACATCCTCCCACGTTACAAAAACATGCACGGTAGGTTAATTTAAGACTCTGAGTGTCTATTTGTGTGAGCGGACAACTCAATTATCACAACAATTTCATATTCCATTGGTAGTGTTCATGTATCTGACAATTGCGAGTCCCACTCTTTGTGTTCTTCACATTCGCCCTGTGGTTGTTGACTGGCTCGTAAGCAGTCCAAGGTCCAACTTCTTCTGTCAATTAGAATAAGGAAAAACATGTCGACGAATGGATGCAACCCGATGTTTCATTCCCATTCGAAGCCTGTCACAACACCAAGCACTTTTCTTTTTGCCATCCAAGGCAGTGTGCTACTACTCTCGTCTCACCCTCCCACACGGAGACGCAGACAAACACACAGCACGATGTTCGAGCCAGTTCAAACAAAGCGTGACATCCCAGCAATTATTATTAGATGGGAGTTTATTTTGGAGTCCGATTTCAAGTTGGAGTGCTCTCTTGTGTGTAACTGCGTGGATGCTCACGCTGCTGTGCGCAAAGACCGGTAAACTCTCTGCCTTTGCCGCTGCGGCATATGTCTAGTCTGACAGGTGATTTCATTAGAAACCACCTGGCCCGCATACATTATTGATCCGATTCGCCGTCAATTCACTGCACGACACTTCATCATGCGATCAAGGGGATTTCACAGCTGTTTGTTCGGGTGGGATGGAGTCCCGGGAATGGGAGTGCCTGTGGGTTTCAGCTTGTCAGCTTGTCAGCTCGCCATTAATTCCTTGTTCTGAAAGCGCACAGACACGTGAGTGAGCGTTTCCTGCCCTGGAAGCTGTATCCATGGCGACAGAGCCAATTGGTTGCAACCGGTGGGAATTAGCCCGGGGAATGCCGCATTTCTTATTGTCGTCCTCCTACACTCCAGGTCGTCGACGACAATGGCCCTGCTGCTCTCTCGTCTCCTCGAAACCACCTGGCCCGCATACATTATTGATCTGATTCGCCATCAATTCACTGCACGACACTTCATCATGCGATCAAAGGGATTTCACAGCTGTTTGTTCGGGTGGGATGGAGTCCCGGGGATGGGAGTGCCTGTGGGTTTCAGCTTGTCAGCTCGCCGTTAATTCCTTGTTCTGAAAGCGCACAGACACGTGAGTGAGCGTTTCCTGTCCTGGAAGCTGTATCCATGGCGACAGAGCCAATTGGTTGCAACCGGTGGGAATTAGCCCGGGGAATGCCGCATTTCTTATTGTCGTCCTCCTACACTCCAGGTCGTCGACGACAATGGCCCTGCTGCTCTCTCGTCTCCTCCCCGACTCTTTTGTGCCCTTTATTCATCTTGTCACCTCCATGTTCCTTTAATGACTCCCTCCGTGTTCATTAGCGACAATGAGCCGTACTGCATTACGGAACTTGCATTTATCGGAGCGAAGCCTCGACATCATCATCACAGCTTAAGTGGTCATTCGCTGCACCAGGGTCATTAAAATGGGTCCTGTCTCCTTCCCTTTAGATTTCTGTTGTTAATGACTGAAAACACAGGTGTCTGATTCAGCGACTTGAGCAAAGAAAAAAAATACCTACACATTTCAACCCATTATTTGGTTTTATATATAGTAGAAAAATACCCTCCTCGCCCCCATGTATTTGAGGGATAAGTAAAATCATCAATTTCTTGATCACTAAAATTACTGTTCATTTCACTGTGAAAGTTAAGTAATCATCAATCAGCAAAATGGAGCGTACAACTCGGCTGCATTCATCAAGGAGGCTGTTGATTCACTCTGAGCTATAGTTTGTGGTCTAAATACGAAGAGCGTGACATCATCTTTGGGAAATGGAGCTGCCGCTCTTGGATACCATTCAGCGACTTGAGCAAAGAAAAAAAATACCTACACATTTCAACCCATTATTTGGTTTTATATATAGTAGAAAAATACCCTCCTCGCCCCCATGTATTTGAGGGATAAGTAAAATCATCAATTTCTTGATCACTGAAATTTCTGTTCATTTCAATGTGAAAGTTAAGTAATCATCAATCAGCAAAATGGAGCGTACAAGTCGGCTGCATTGATCAAGGAGGCTGTTGATTCACTCTGAGCATAGTTTGTGGTCTAAATACGAAGAGCGTGACATCATCTTTGGGAAATGGAGCTGCCGCTCTTGGATATCA